GTTATTGATGTGTGAGATTGTGCTGTGGGTATGCTTGTGGTGTGTTGGCTTTTCTGTTTGTTTTCCATTTCAGCTCTGTCCGTGTGACCCAGGTTCTCGCAATGGCACCCAAGTCAACGTGCATTGGTCGTGAAGGAAAAAAGGGTTGGATCCCTTTTTTGCCGGGGAGTGTCAATGGAGTTGAAGATTGAACGATCAATTCTTGGTTGTTTGCTCAAAATCAACTTCCTCGATTTTCGCGGAGGCATCAATACGACAGTCATCGTCTCATCGGTCGCTGTTCAGAAAGAAGAGTTAAATATCGTCAGAAGTAACATAACGATTTATTATTGTAATATTTGTTTACAGACCTTAGTTTTCTTAGTTTGCTTAGTGATACTTGATCTATATGCTGGTGTAACAATACATAATACTCAAGTCAACAATTGGTGTTTTGGTTTTTTCGTCCGTTATAACTAAGCGTTTCTGAAAACTCAAAGGAACAGCGTGGGCCCGAGCGTAGCGAGAGCTGGGCATTACCGGTTTATGAGACGGTAGCTGACAAGTGGGGTTATTTTTTACAAAGTACTTGAATACTGCGCAATCATCGGTTTTATGCATGGGCATGTACGGTTCGTATTTAAAATGTCCAGCGAATCCTCGCACGATGCCTATTACACAAAACATAAAAGACTGGCTTGCGAGGATAGATGCAAAAAATATGAACTTCAGTCACTTTTGTTAAGGCGCCTGAAACTCAACCTAATTTTCCCCTTTCGCCTTTCACACGGCTACGTCAAAAGCAGTAATCCGATAGCTTTCAGCAATATAACCACATCTACTCTTAGGAATCATGAAAATACTTTATCTATAAAAAACTGCGATCAGTTGTCTTCAGAATACAGTACAGTGCATAACAGAACAAAAAAGGAAGGAGGGTAGCGCGTGCTGATCGGCGGATATGGTAGTGATCACAAATGTGAATAGCTGAGATCTATAGGACAGCAACATACATTTTTGATAGCCCGAGATTTAAACATGAGTTTAGATCCTTAACATAAAAAACAGTAATGACTACACAGATCAAAACAATAAAAAGTGATTTTGCTTCCAACATCTACAAGCCGGCTTAGCTTCTTCTCGAGATGCTACCCCGTGGGCCCCACAGATATTCCTGAGATATCTTGCAGGTCATCTTATCCTACATTTTTCAAACTTTCAGATTTTGAATTCATTCCCTGCTGAAATATCACTTATCTACATCTCAATAGTCTTTAGAGGCTAAAGATGCTGACGTTAACGGATAGTACGAAGCATACTTGTAACAACAGAAGACAAGGGCTAGGCAACATATCATTTGTTAAGGATAAAATTTTATTTTGATAATTCACAGTCTTGTACAGTTATATTAACTAATGACGATTCGAGCACAAACTATTGCTCATAAACATATCAAGTAACTTACGCAACTTTTTTCTTTCATATATATACATGTATGGAATCGATTAGATATGGGATTAAAAATCAATGTGAGATAATGTCCATTCAGAAATAATAGTACGAGTGTTATCGACCGATTACAATTATATGGGAAATACGAATGTTTTATAAGTGTTGATTTATAGTCATAATAAGTTGCTTGTTGGAATGTTCTGAACTGAAATAGAACTGTAAGATTATTTATTATCTTCTTCTGATTTGACTGGTGGATATAATACGACTGCTGTTGATCAGTTATAATCAGATGGGAGATACAAGTGTTTTAATAGTCATAATAAGTAATCTATTAGAATGTTGTGTTGTGTTTGAATTGAAATAGAATTTTAAGATTATTTATTATACAACTCTGGCTTGACCTAGGGAAATAATATCTTCCATATTTCTGGTATTTGCATGGAGTCATTTCTGTCGCATGTGTTTGGTGTAGACTCGATGAACTAGGATTCAGTAATCAACCTGTCTCCACCTATAGTGGCGGCCTGCTTAAATCTTGGGCTACCAAAATTTCCATCCTACATATTGCATCTATTTCCTGGGATTTATTTTGTTATAATCATTCAATTATGTATCCAAGTCGCATTACTTACTCTCGCGATTATTTAAAATGTCTTCAACCCGTTGATTTACGAGTATATAATAACGTTAAGAAAAAGCATCATGGAGGTTGGCAGAGATCATTAAAGTGTACTCCAATGCATCAGATGACTGTTCCTGTGATTATGAGCACAAATTGCAGGTCATTATCGAACAAGATTAACTACTTTCATTCTCTATTATACTCAAATATATATTGTAATACTGGTGTAATCACTCTTCAAGAGACTTGGCTCCATGATTCATATGACGACAATTTAGTCTCCTTAAGTGGGTTCACAATCTACAGACAAGACCGATGCAGCTCAAAGAAGAAGAGAGGTGGTGGTGTTGCCACTTTTATTAATTCTCAGTTGTCTACTGCCAACAACGTCTGCTTCAAATTCTCAAATGACAATATTGACTGTATAACTGTAAAATGTCGACCTAAACACTTACCTAAGTACAACTCCATTTTTGTCACAAATATCTATATCACACCTTGTTGCAGCCCCTCAGAACTATCTATCTTCGCTGATGAATTCACTATTTTTGCTGCTGCTTCGTTTGGTAACTCCTTATCTATAGTGACCGGCGACTTCAACTCCAGCGACTGCAGTTTTATTACATTGCTGGGCCATGCAAATGTTGTTAATTTCCCAACTCGACAAAATACTTCACTTGATTTAGTATTTGTAAATGATTCTGGAATATACGAAGCTCGTAAATGAGCCCCGCTCTTCAATTCTGATCATTGTATTGTACGAGTCTTACCCAAAATTTACGGAAAGTTACACAGTAAGGCCCTCTCAAACTTGTCTAAGAAAGTTGTTCACAGATGCTACTCAAATGAGAACGTACATCATCTTAGAAACATGCTCAGTGACACAAGATGGGATTTGTTTAATGTTGATTCACTTAATGACAATATCTCTAATATTACATCCCATCTGAAATTCTGTTTTGAAATCTGTTGTCCAAAAGAAAAACTATTCGTCAAATTTGACCGTTTCTCCTCGCCTCAACTTAAAAAGCTTCGTAGAGAGAAAGAAAAACTATATAAAATCAAAGATAAAATTGGTGCTAAAAGAACTAACTTCTTAATTAAGTCTGAAATGCAGAGGCTGAATGTAATATATAACCAGAAATTCATGTCCTGCAAAAATCCTTCTAATATGTGGAAACTATTTAAGGAAATCACTGGTGGTAAGCAGATAAACAATATTCCATATTCTTTTGATGTATGTACTCTTAACAAATCTTTTATTTACTCTCCCTCAAATGCCATGCTTCCCAGCATCACTTGTGTTAATAATAGCCCCTTTCCAGGTTTTAACACAAATGATGTTCAAAAGTGCCTCAAGTCTCTAAACCCTTCCCAGAGCTTAGGTCCCGATTATGTACCTAGTATTATTTTTAAAAAATGTTCTGATATTCTGTGTCACCCTCTTACTGATCTATTTAACAAATCTTTTTCCGATAATATTGTGCCTGCCGTTTGGAAGGACATTAAAGTTGTACCCATACCTAAATCATCCACTGGAGCATGCGTCAAATTTAGACCCACTGCTATTACGTCTCCTTTTTTGAAAACTATGGAGAAATTACTTTTACTTAGTCTTGAACCTTCGCTTAAATCCCTTAATGACCCTAAACAATTTGCCTATAAGCACAGTAGAAGCACTTTAGATGCAGCTGCCGTCTTATATCATAACATTGCTTCCAGTCTAGACAAGGGGGCTAAATTTGTTCGTTGCGCCTTCCTAGACTATACATCTGCTTTCGACTCGGTCCCTAGGGACATCTTATTAAATAAACTTGCTGCTAGTCAAACAGAATGTTGGGCTGTTAACTGGTTGCATTCCTATTTCTCAGATAGAAAGCAGTACACCGTATATAAAGGGAAGTCTTCCACTTCATTGCCTACTGAAGCTGGTGTCCCTCAAGGTGCTGTTCTTTCTCCTTTTCTTTTTTCTTTCTTCTTGCATGACTTGCCTCACTCTGATGAAATAAACTTTGTGAAGTATGCTGATGATTTAACGGTTTCAATGGCTGTTAACTCCCAGCTAGATTGTACTAAAATAAATAGCTTTCTATCGGAAGTCAGCAAATGGTCTGAGTCAAACGGCCTTAAACTGAATCCTTCTAAGTGTCAAACTGTTGATTTCAGCTTAAGATGTAAACGACAGTTAAAAGAAGTCATCGATTCTCATGACACTTGTAAAATTGACGACAATGATATAGGAATCAAATCAGAAATTAAGTATCTTGGACTCATTCTCTCTTCTGATCTCTCGTGGTTTTCCCATGTCTTAGCAATCTCCAGTAAAATATTCCGCTTGACATTTTACATTAAGAAGTTAAGACACTCGGGTATAACTCAACCCCTCATCCTACAGTTCGTAAACTCTTGCATCCTACCTATTCTTCTTTATTGTTCACCCTTATTCTTTCCTAGTTTGCTTAAAAAGGACTATGTCACAATTCGTAGAATACTGAAGACTGTCAGTAGAGTGAGTGGTGTCCCAGTGGACCACATAGTTAACGTCGTTGTCGATAGGCATTTGACTTCGTGCAATAAATTTGCTAAAGGGATTTTGTCTGACTTGGAGCATCCACCACACCCTCAGCTTTCACCTTGCATCTTCTCAGGTAGAACAAGGAGTAACTTCAGAAAACTGTATGCTCGCACGTCTAAGTATAAGAAGTCTATGATACCATACTTGGCATGTGTTTTATGTGATGAAAATAGTGTCAGGCAAGAATTAACTAACCTTTTTCATCTAGTAAATAAACAATTTCCTCCATCCATCCTTACATACCTTCAAGTTTTACTTTTATTATTTCTGTTATATTAATAATAATAATAATAATAATTTATTTTCATATAAACATAAATTTACATGAAAATGCATGCCATTTTTACAGGCACGATCAAGGATGATATAATGTCAAATCGTAGATTGTCTACAAGTTAATAATGTTTCAACAGTTAAATATTTGATATATATATATACACTCATTGTCTGAACCAGGCCGGATAGTTATTGAATTGTACAATTGTCCTCCAGGTTGAGCGGGAAAATCGACTTCGTTTCGTTTTCATCCCGTGGTTGTAGGCATACGATAACCAACCAATATTGAGGTAAGTACAACTTTTACAAGGGATTGGAAGCTGTTTTAGAAAAGTTAAAGTGCTAAGGTGAAACATTAAAGTGTAATAGATTAAGTGAGTGAAATATATCATTAATAAACACATTTATATAGAAAACAGAATGGGGAAGTAATTAATCCTTAGGCCGACAACGTTCATTTGCAATGTATAATGAAACCAATATATTTTATACTATCATGCGTTCACTTTTGGCTTTAATACAATTATTTTCAAGCCAGTTGTCTTTATTTCATGTCTTTTTTTCTATTTGGTGCACAACCGTACCCTCCAGAGAATAGGAATAGAATAAGTCGAATGAAATTCGTAAAAAGCTATAAAATGTTAGGTTTAATGGAATATAATGAGAATCAAGTAAAGACGTTATTAGAAAATAAGTGAGACAAGATATTGTGAAGTGGTATTTAAATATCTGACAATGGATAGCAAGTTAATTTATAAGATGCCCCATAAATCTGTGCAGATCCCACGTGGTCGCATCTCAACAATAGGCTGAGCGAATGGTATATATTTAAAGGTAGAAGCATTATCTGTCAAGGCGTTCACTATTATCTTTTTCAAGATAAAGATCTAAGCCCTCATAAAAATCAGAAATATCTCGAGCCTTTAATTTGTATATTGCTGTTCCTGCAGAATGGGGCGATTCACCTTAGTGACCTTGTCCTGTTGCTTCTTTGTTTATTTTGCTTTCATAATTGCAAACACCAACTTATCTCCATGACGGCTGTAATCTATGTTTTTTCCTTCACCATATCATGTAGAAAGAACATTATATTCAATATTTTTAAACATGTTAGGATTTCTATACCACATTGACAATACTGTGTGCCACAAGCCAACGGCAATTTTCACTTGTATTCTTACTATTATTACCCTAGCTGTTATCGTTATTATTGATATTTCCATTTTATATGCTGCATGTTTTTGACACTACCTCTATTGTAAATGTGAAAAAGTTTCTGTGTGATTAATTTTATTTATAATTTGAGGAAATAAGATGCAATATTGTGATTAATGCTGAAAATCCCATTCTGTATCACGAGTACTGTTTTTGGATTAAAGTAAATCATTATTATTATTATTATCTAGATTACTTTTTAGGATCTTAACCCTCTCCCACCATGCTATTGTGTGGTTGTGTGTTAATGCATGCATTGCAATTGCTGAGTTTTTTTCTAAATTATTTGTCTTTTCAAGGTCAACCATTCTTACCTTCGCTAAATTCTTATGTTCTGACAATCTGACTACGCCTGACCTATTAGTTTGACCTATGTAGTTGACCTCACAGTCATTGCAGGATATTTTGTAAATTATATTAATTTGTCTAATTGGGTCAACTGGGTCCTTAAACCTACACAGCTTGTCCGAGCTGAGTGAGTTTGTAGGTTTAAATGCCACCAACCTAATTCCTGCTTTATTTACAATCCTACGTAGGGTCTCAGATGTCCCCTCTTTATATGGTATAACTGTAGACGACTTATACTCTCTCTTATTTATGTTATTATTAATAGTTTCACAATTATTTTTATTTTTCGTTTGGCCTTTTTCGATCTTCCTAATGAATTTAACACCAAAGCCTCTTCTATCTGTTTTAGTTGTAATATATATATTTCTTCCTGTTTATGCAGGAACATACCAATTGTACAGGCATGGATAAGTTATTATATAAATTACACACAATTTAATGTATAATGAATTTACAGTTTGGTTGTTCTTTCTGACATTAGAGTCAGTAGGAACAGTCTGCTATAAAGTCTGTTTGTGTAGCACATAAAGAGATATAGAAATATTGTCTTCGCATTAACAAAAAACCCAGACATCAGATGAATGTAATACAGATATCTGGGAAAAATAAAGCTTGAAGTCAATTCTCTTATATAACTTTGTTGTGAGCAGCACCCATGGCTTAAAGATTATTGATGTATTATGTTGAGATCAGTGATATATTTATTCCATTTTTTCAGCACTCTTATCGTAGTTTCATAACAGGAAAGAAATTTGATCGTGGATACGAAAACTAAATAAGGTCATGTTGGGTTGTTTTACTGCATCAAATGGTGCCGAGGTCGATTCCAGAATTCTCCATTTGCTCCATTTGTGTCTGCATGGCGGACTGTATTCGTAAGTTGAGTAAAACGTTGAAAACTGTTTGAAAACCAGTTGCTTCTTCATTTCAGATCATGAATACTCATTTACAGCATGTTCGCCAGCGTCTTCAAATGGTAGAATTGGATCGTTCATGGAATTTGAGTGGTTATGAGATAGACGGTTTGGAATTAATCCTCATTTCAGTTTAGATGCAGGGTTGTTCGACCTCGACCAGAAGATGAATAGGAGCAGCAAAATACCAGAAAGAGAAAGTATGTGAACATGAAAAGAACATTAATACATGATTCATTTATAAATGTTTATCTTAATTATACTTAAGTAAACATTTTTCTATATTGTATCTGCGTTTTCACGTATTTATGCGAAGTCTTAGAGTTTATTTAATGTCATAATGTGTATTAATAGTCTGAGCGTTTTTATTGTTCTAATGACTGATGCGTTTTAGAAATAAGTAATGGGTTCTGGTAGGGATAGTCTTTAGAATAAAACAGTTTACATAGCAAGCGTTTGAAGGTTACAATGAGGGATAGGTCCTATTTCTAAGGGTAGACTAATCCTGTATGTTCCGTACTATGTCTTTATGCATCCATGCTGCTAGTTTATTTATAGTTTAAAGATTGCTAAGGGTGTTGAAGTGCGTCTTTTAGGTGCTGTAGTAGATTAGTGCTTGATTCGTTCTAGGAGTAAATAGTTTATTAATATAATCAGTAGAGTGCAACAGTCTGTATAGAGAGCGTTTGAAGCTTGTAACCGAAGAGCAAGTTCTGATATCTAGGGGTAGGCTATTCCATATTTTAGAATACATGACTGTGAAGAAGTTTTCACGGAGTGTTGACTTAAAAGAATGAGTTGTCACTGTGGAAGTTTGGTTACGCAGATCGTAAGAACCTTCCTGTGCGAATTGTATGTCCCTGTTACCTGAGAAAGATATTTTGTGAAGGACCTTAAAGAAGAATATTAGGTTTATAATAAGTCGCCTTGTCCAAAGTGGGTCGAGTTTTAGGATCATGCACCGTGAGATGTAGTCTTCCTTACAATCGTAGCCAAGCAGTTTTGAGGTAAAATATCGTTGGATACTTTCCATCCTTAGCTTGTCACGTGTGCGAGTGCTGCTTATAATAAATGGACAGTATTCTAGTAGTGGTCTGACACATGTTTTGTACAGAATTAGCTTGGCTTCATTGTCGTGAAAGTTCCTGAGTATGCATCCTAAGAGCATCCTCGATTTTCTAGTCTGTGATGCTACTTGCTCTGAGAATGTCAAGTCACTAGAGTACCTCAGGCCTAGGTCAACGACATTTCGGAGTCTTGTTAGGTTAGCAGATTGGAGCGTTAATTTCAGGTCGATTGAGGGTGCACCGAAGCAGATCCAGCCACATTTGTTCAGATTAAATTGGAGATTCCATAGGGACGACCAAGCAGCCATTTTATCTAATTCCTTCTGTACTACATTCTCGAAGTTCCCTAAGTCATCACGTTGGAATGTATAAGCTACTTTTAGGTCATCTGCAAAGATGAATGGTTTCCCGTGCGTGAAGCAAGCGCATATGTCATTGATGTATAGTGTAAATAGGAGGGGTCCAATGACACTACCTTGTACTACACCAGAAGTGATAGGGCTAGGTTTGGAGGTTGCAGACCCGAGTTTAACTATTTGGGACCTATTGTTAAGGAATGATTTAAGCCATCCTAATAATGGGTCACGTATTCCTAAGGAGTTCAGTTTATTTGTTAGCAGTAAATGGTCAACACGGTCAAATGCCTTAGAAATGTCAAAGTAGATGACAAGTACTAGTTGCCGTCTGTCACGACTGCTGGTTACAAAATTGAAGAAGTCTAGGTGACATGTTAAACATGATCTGGATTTCAGGAATCCATGTTGGTTCGGACTTATGATGTTGCAGCTAAGCATGTGTTTGATTAGGTTATTTTTGACTAGTCTCTCCATGATTCTAGATGCTATAGGTGTGATATTGATTGGCCGGTAGTTACTGACTTCAGTTTTCGAGCCAGATTTGTGTTTAGGCATAATGAATGTAGTCTTCCATATGTCAGGGTAAGTTTGGGTTTCTAGGGACATTGTGAATATTTTAAGCAGTAGTAGAGGAATGTCAGGGCCACCATATTTATAGAAGTAAGATGATATACCGTCGGTACCGAAACCTTTTGAACTTTTGAGGGTTCTTATAGTTTGGTTAATGTCAGCGTAAGTGAATTGAACAGTGCTAATTTGGTTTGGTGTCAGTGGAGTTGGTGCCATTTTAGTAATAGGGTGTATATCGAGTAGCTGGACTGAGGGCTTAAGGTAGTTACCTGCAAACGTTTTGTTGAATAGTTCACATATGTCTGCAGAGTTAGTGCATAGCCTGCCTTTGTCTATGAGGAGAGAAATGCTGTGATTTTTGCGATTCATTCGCTTCCTTAAGATTTCTGTGAGTGCATACGCTCTAGCAGGACTGGCTACTGCGATGCGTTCTTCCTTTCTCATACGGAAATCTTGAGCTTGTGTGATGGAGCTAAGGGTTTTAAGTATTAGACCTAGAGTGCCAAAGTCGTGGTGTTTGAAGTAACTTGTTGAGAGTTTCTTCAGTTTCTTACGATCCTTTGGTTTTATGAATGACTTTCTGTGTGGGGAAACCTTTAGTGTTTGGAGTGGAATGACAGCATCTAAGCATATGTTTGAGTTATGGTAGAAGATGGTTAGGGCTCTCGATAGGTCATCAGTAGTGAAGTATTCATCCCATTTGGAGGATCTTAGCATCGATTCAACTAAGGCCCAGTTTGCCTTACTATAGTTCCTATATATTACTTGTTGTGAAGTGGAGGTATGAGATGCATTGCTACTCAGCGGAATTGGCAGTGCACACATTACTGTTTTGTGGTCGCTCCCTGGGAACTCAGAACCTACTAGCGTTGAAAGGGGGCTTATATTGTGGCAGAAGATTAAGTCTAGTACGTTGTTACCTCTTGTGGGAGTAGTGACAGTTTGTTTCCAGCCAAGTATATCCAGTGTGTCTAAGAACTTATCAAATTTAGTTGGACCTGTGGGTATATCCCAGTTGATTTCAGGTAAGTTAAAGTCCCCACATAGGATCTTATGATCGTATTGTAAGTCGGTTAATTGCTCCAGAGTATTAATGAGTTGGGTCTCGTAATTACTAAAGGTGCCAGGTGCTCTGTAGGAGCATCCAATTAGTGCTGTTACGTTATTTAAGTGTACATTAACCCATAGAGTCTCAGGCATGTTAAGTGTACTACTTTCTAGCTGTGATACAGTAAGTTCATTCAAGAAGTACATGAGACAACCCCCTCCCTTACCACCTTCCCTGTCACACCGAAAGTGTGTGTAGTTATCTAAGCTTATTTCATCATCCAGGATGTCCGAATGACACCAAGATTCAGTGATGACAATTACAGGGGGTTTGTATATTACTGTGAGTGCTCTGAGCATCGGCAATTTATTTAGAACAGATCTAGCATTTATGAGGATTACGTAAAGATGAGAGTTGAAGTAGCATTTGAAGTATTTAAGTTCGTTAGTCAGCCCCGAATATGGTTCAGCACCCAGTAGTTCTGCTGGACATGACGATCCTATGTTAAGAGGAGTTCCAGCATCATGCTCACCTATGTCTATCGAGTTGTTGTGTGCTGTTTTCGGTGGAGAATTAGGAGTTGGAGTACTGGATTTGCTATAGACTAAGGAACTTTTATTTTTAGTTAGGTTACAGAAGTGGGTAGGGTTCTTTATTTGGCCTATACTTGTGCAAGTGTCAAGTGTGTCCAATGGATACGGGTGCACTAGACCGTTCCTGTTTTCATGCAAGGAGGGAGCCAGCACTAGTGGTTTAGGAGTGTTAACATCCCTACCAGCTGTTTTTTCAACGCTGACAGGGACGCGGGGGATAAAAAATGATTGGATCCTTGTGATGACCATGGCTTATTATTCCACCTATTGTTTGATGCTAGTTGTGTCCTTGTGTGGGTTTCGTGTGTACTGCATTTTGGGTTAGTTCCCAGCAGACTTGTACCATATATCCGGTCGAAATTTGTTTGTGTGCCATACTCTGAAGACCCTGAGTTGTTGGTAGCCGAGTTCTGACTGTTACCACTTGTACTATTTAGGGTGACATCGTTGTGACATTGGATATTAGTGTGTGCCACGGTGCGATTTAGCACGTTGTGAGTGCTAATACTATTAACCGTGGGGAGTGTGGGCTTATTTAAGCTGCCACTGTTTTTGTTGGTATGATTTAGGGGCATATTTTCCTTATCTTTACCAATGGAATTATAGCTAGGAGAGGACAAAGTCGAGTTTCGGGGGGTTTTAACTTTTTTTCTGGGGTTATTTAGTGGCATTTTAGATTCTGCGGTGATGGGTGGTATGGTTTTATTATTTATTTGGTTACAGTCTAGTGGCCTTTCGGCTGGTGTTGCACTCTGATGGGACATTTCTGTGTGTTTTGAGAGGGGTGATGCGGTGGGGTCTACTGTATCTTTCACAGGGTTGGGGATAATGGCTTGCTGCAATGTCCTATTACCTATTTCACAATTAGTCTTAGTGAGATAGTTGTGTGCGCGCCTTTCTATAACTGTTTTGTCCACCCCGACCTTTATATGTTTGTAGTTTCTGGCTTGCGATAGGGTGTGTTGGGAGTGAATGAATTTTCTGGTCTCTGCCGGTGTTTCGAACTGAAATCGAATAGGACAGCACTTTTCATGTTGACTCTTCTTCAGCCTGTAGCACTTAGTCTTGGAGTTAGGCATTTTCGCTTCACTAAGTAAGATGCGCTGTACCTTTTTTATTGCCTCATTGTCCGGAACGTTGTAGACAATAGCACTGAGTTTTGCGTCGAGTCGTTTTGTTACTTCTGTGGTAACAAAGTTAATGAGGTTATCTACCTTAGTTACCGATTCTGTGTCAAGCTTGTTAAGGTTTACCGTTTTCATGAGGATAGTTAGAGGTGTCAGTTCACAGACCTGCGATCTGATATCGCTGATCTGATCTGATAATTTGGATATCTCGGTATTGGTTTCGATGTTTCCAGCATTTACTGACTTGCTGTTTTTTATTTCCCTTAACTCAGCCTTAAGTTCTCCTATAGACAACTTTAGAAGTTCTATTTCTGAAGATAGTACTGAAAAAGAGCTTGATGGCTGGAGTTTCTCCATAAGCACATAAGGTGAAGGGAGGAGTTCTGTATGAGCAGAGGGTACCGAATTTTTAGGAGTAGTGCTAATACTGGCTGTCAGTACAGTTTTATTTTCAGTTTCAGCTCGACGCTTACGGCATACACGTGAGTTATGTGACTCACTATAGCCGTTTGTTGGGGGTGTGTTGCTTGATGTAGCAATCAAGGACGTTAAATTAGACACCAGTTTTACAGGGGATTGGGTTCGCTGCTTTTTACTTTGATTAACCATAACTATTAGAAATAAGAGTTAGTGGTTACAAGTATGGAAGTGGTATAGTACTTGTGCAAGTACTACAACAAGATAAATTTTATGTAACGAATCACGTAAAAATGTAACGCAAACGTTGAACGTACCGCGATACAGAGTGCATTTAGGTCTTTTCTTGCGCTACTTAGTGCTACTCCTCAGTTTGTTAAACACTTAACTAAGCCTGCCTTAACAGTTAACGGATGAGATGAATTAAAGTCTAAGTATCTATTAGAATGAGTTGGTTTTCTGTACACACTAGTGTGCAGTTTACCTTATTCTATTCGTTTTATTTTACAATCTAACATAGCTAATTCTCCTTGTTCATTTTCCGATTCAATTGTGAATTTTATTCCTTCCACTAGTGAGTTTATGTGTGTCAAGAAGCTAGAGATATGTTCTGTTTTTAACACTGTGTGTGAAAGTGTCATCCATATATATCCGAAATATTTTTGGAGTAGGATTAAATTTATTATGAGCACTATTTTCCCAGCTGTCCATGTATATGTCTGCTACAATAGGAGATATTGGTGATCCCATTGCTACACCTTCTGTTTATCGATATATTTTACCTTGGAATTTAAAGATAGTACATGTGAGGCATAACTGAATCCCTAAAATAATTTGTTCAATGGGCAGCTTTGTCCTATGATTGAGTCCAGGATCCGCAGTTAGTTCTATTTCAACTGCTTCTAAGGCCATATTGACTGGTATATTAGTCTAAAGACTAGTTATATCAAAACTAACCATTTTTTTCATCATTCTCTAGTTGAATGTCGTTTAGTTTATTTTTCATCTCATATGAATTGGTCAGTCTAGAGTTTCAACGATTTCTAATGGGGCGTAATATTAGAGCTAAGTGTTTTGATAATTCATAAGTAGGGGTATTTCTGAAATAAATCTGCTATTGGTCGTACGGGGTAACCTGGCTTATATATTTTAATAGTACCATACATTCTACTAGCATTATTAGTTTTAGGCATTAAATTAAACCATTTTGACTCACCCAGTGACGGCTTCATTCTGCGTATTAGTTCTGATGTAGATTTCTTAACCTTATTTATTATTGTGTCTACAGGCTTCTTAATTTCTCCATATGGACCCGTTTGAATATGTTAAGTAACTTTTTTGTCATAGTCATATTTATTCAAAACTACCGTGGCGTTTCCTTTGTCAGCTTTTGCGATGACAATATATTTATCCTGTTTTAGACTTACTAAAGCTTCTCTTTCCAATTTTTTTAAGTTTGATTTTTCCTTCTTTTGATTTTTCAGGGTTAACGCACATTGCGCTCGAACCTCTTCTGCTCTTGTCTTATCTAATGAACCCAGTGCTACATAAATTCAAACACATCATAACATTCAAATAAATAACTTATTACGACTGTTAAAACACTTCTATCTCCCATCTGATTTTAATTGGTGAACAACACTTTTCATTGTAGTTGAAGATTGAACGATTAAATTCATGCTTGTTTGCTCAAAGCCAACCCCCTATATTTTTCGCGGAGGCATCAACACACCAGTCATCGTCTCATCGATCGCTGTTCAGAAAGAAGATCAAAACCGTCGGAAACCTTAGTTTTTATTCAGGTTATATGTTGGTGTTAGCATAAAGAATTTTCAAGTTGCGAATCGGTGTTTTGTTTTTGCGTCCGTTAGCACTAAGCGTTTCTGAAAGGCTTCGAGGGACAGTGAGCAACCCGGCGTAGCAAGAGCAGGGCATTAACCGTTTTTGAGACGCGATTGACAGCTTCTGACAGATTCGTAGGAGTTTCTGACGGTTGGTGAGAGTTTGTATCATTTTGGATAGACTCCGTCAACCTTCCCTGTTGCCGCCAAGACTTCTTTGAACAAGAAATAACTGGAAATTTCCCGGATTGTGGTTACGTTCCGTGACGCCTGGTTCAAAGAGGGGATAGAGTGTCTTGGATGCAAACAGGAAAGTAAGTCATGGTGACTTGTCTCTTAATTGTAACGATGTGTCTGATGTTAAGCATGACATGGTTGATGTTACTGTTTCGCCGTTCAGGGATAATAGGAACATCAAACTCCCTAAATTTGAACCACGGTGTTTCGATGGAAACCCGGCTGATTATTTACAATTTGTAAAGGAGTTTGAGATCATGCTAGGTAGTAATCTATTAAGCAATGAATTGAACTTAATGTGTTTGATGAGTTACTGCACTGGGGTTGCTGCAAGAGCTATCCAGTTTTGTAAGTTGATGTCCCCTGAAGAAGGATAATCTGAGGCTATGAGTATACTACGGCAATGATACGAAAGAACTTCGATGATTGTAAAGAACGTATTCGAGGCCGTTAAAGGTTATGGTAGTAAATTACACGATGACTCCAAGGCACTCACTGAGATTTTGGATAATCTGTTGACTTACAAGAATGCATTGATTTCGATGAATCGCATGAGTGACCTCAACTCGAGTTTTATACTAGAAGTAATAGCAAGACGTCTACCTACTCGACTGCAAGGGAAGTGGGTGAAGATAAGCTCCCGTATGGAGGATGAGGGTATCGAGCCAAAGTTTGATGATATCCTGAAACTGGTAAATACTAGTGTTAATCAATCTATGAGCAAGTTTGCCAGTATATTGAATCTCACCCCTAGAATAGAGCAGTCTGAGGGTAAAACGCACTCATTGATGACGAGTAGGCCTCAGAGAGGTGGATATCGAGAAGGCTCCATGATGTCCCGTAAACTGTCAATGCCCAGCTCTTGCTACGCTGGGAATCACGCTGTTCCTTGAAGCTTCTCAGAAACGCTTAGTAATAACGGACACGAAAACCAAAACACCGATTGGCCGCCTTGGAATTCTTTATTGTAACACCAACATATAAAAAATGTTATCATTAAGGTCTGTGGACAAATATTACAATAATAAATCACAAGATTACTTCTGACGGTTTTATTCTGACTTCTTTTTGAACAGCGACCGATGAGACGATGACTGTCGTATTGATGCCTCCGAGAAAATTGAGGAAGTTGGTTTTGAGCAAACAATCATGAATTGATCGTTCAATCTTCAACTATATTGACAGATTGTTTTACTGCATCAAATGGAGTCTAGGTCGATTCAGAACTCTCAATTTGCGCCATTTTTGTCTGCATGGGGCACTGTATACGTCATTTGATTAAAATGTTGAAAACTCTTTGAAAACCAGTTTCTTCTTTATTTCAGATCATGAAAACTCATTTACAACACGTTCGCCAGCGTCTTCAGATGGTAGAATTGGATCTTTCATAGAATTAGAGTTGTGATGAGTTAAATGGTTTGGAATCCATCTGCATTTCAGTTTAGATGCAGGGTCGTTCTACCTCGACCAGAAGATACAGAAAAGGTTATGTGCAGCATCAGAATACCCAGAAAGAGAGAGTATGTGAAAAGTGCAATATCATGAACATTATCACAAATATTCACTTAACCGTCGTCATTCTGGTCGAATTCATCATTTTCAAAGTCACTAGCAACAGCAGTAGATGATTCACTTTCGTCCTCAAAAATCACTGAAAGTTTTGTAAACATACTCTGACTAGCAATACCTTATCTTCACCCACTTCCTTTGCAGTCGAGTAGGTAGGCGTCTTGCTATTACTTCTAGTATAAAACTCGAGTTGAGGTCACTCATGCAATTCATCGAAATCAATGCATTCTTGTAAGTCAACAGATTATCCAAAATCTCAGTGAGTGCCTTGGAGTCATCGTGTAATTTACTACCATAACCTTTAACGGCCTCGAATACGTTCTTTACAATCATCGAAGTTCTTTCGTATCATTGCCGTAGTATACTCATAGCCTCAGATTATCCTTCTTCAGGGGACATCAACTTACAAAACTGGATAGCTCTGGAAGCAACTGCAGTGCAATACCTCAACATGTACACCAACTTCATTTCATCGTTTAATAAAAAACCACTCAACATGATCTCAAACTCTTTGATAAGCTGTGGATAGTCGGTTGGGTTTCCATCAAGCAAATTTAAACCCTTACTATCACTAAACGGCGAACCATGAACAACAGACTCATCATGCTGAGCATCATACATATCATTACAATTAACAAGGAACTCAAAATTACTTACTTTCCTGTCTGCCTCTAAGATGTCTTGTCCCTTCTTTGACTCAGGCACCACTTAACTTGACCAAAAAATCCAGAAAAGTTCCAGACAACACTTGTCCACAGAAGACACCAGGAAAGACGAACAGATACTAGCAGAAACTGTCACCCAACTCTCAGAAACTGTCAGTGTCCAGCTTTTACTACGCTGGACCTCAAGCTGTCCCTGAAAGACTTTCAGAAACAATTTGTATAAACCAACGCGAAAGACCAGAACACAGATTTGCGACTCGAGGATCCTTTATTGTTACGCCAACATATAACCCGCAATACTGCTGTTACAGAGTAAGGTCTAAGAACGAATATTTCAACAATATTTCGAGATATTACTTCTGGTAGTTTTATATCTTCCCTCTGAACGGCGAACAGTGAGACGATGAGTGTCAGATGATGACCCGCAAATATAATGGGGAAGTTAGGTTTCAGAAAACAACCATGAATTGATCGCTCAATCTTCAAATACATTGACATGTAATGTCTGTACATACGTGTGGTGTGTCATATCAATTGGCGTTTTTGGATTCACTGTGTTTACTTATTGTCTTCTTGCCGCGTTGTTATGCTTAATTTTATCAAAATTTTTTGTCGTGCTTACTTCTGAAGTTGCTTCGAGTCTCCTACATCCGTGAATGAATCGATTGATGTTAAGGACAGCAGACGGGTCGTATACGCCGGGGAGGCTAGTGCTGGGAATGACATGCACACGGAGATAATGATTAGCTGTGGTATCGGTGACTGAGAATGAATATTTCTAATTAGACTGTGGTCCCACACTCCGGGGAGAAAGAGTGTAAACGACTGAGGCTTGCATACGTCACTGTTACTAAGACTGAGGCAGAATGAGTGACAAGTGATAGCAGTGGTAATTGGTAGTGAATAGATGAGAGGATGTGTGAAGAGTATCATGAGGTGGTGCTATGATTACGTTGCCTTGTGAAAGAGTCATTCAAGCAAGTGGCGATTGTGTTGCAAGAGGATGTGTCAAGAGGAT